CCGCCGGAGCAAAGGCCGAACCAAACCAACCCGAATCGGTCACCAACCGGTCGCTGATTCGGAATTCTCTCCACCAACCCAAAACGGTCACCGCGGCACGCGGAAGCAAGAAACCCGCTGGAGAGCCCTAAACAAAGGACAAACAAACCCTGGAGCAGCGAAGCCCCAAACCAAACCCGGAGAAACCCTGAAGAAGTTCACCCTAAACCAACCACGAACAAATCTTAAAAAGAAGCCTAAACTAAGCCCGAAAAACCGTAAAGAAGTCAACCCTAAGCCAAGAACAAACAAACCCCAAAGAAGCCAAGCCCTAAGCGAAGCCCAAACAAACCCGCCTAGCGAAGCCAAGCCCAAAACAAAGCCAAAACAACTCCGAAAGAAGTGAATCCTGAAACCAGCCCTAAACAACCCAAAGAAGTCAAGCCCTAAACCAACCCTAAACAAGCCAAAACAAAGCCTCAAGAAGCCAAACTCGGGTGAAGAAGCCAAGCCCTAAACTTTGAGGGCTTGCGCCCAATCTGCACCAACACAATTGTTTTTCACCAGGGATTGAAGCTTTTGAAGTCCATGAATTTTTCGGCTTAGGCGTCCTCAAACCTTACCACCACTTTCGTGTACTTTTGTTTTCCCTTTGGAAGGTAGTTTTACCCTTTGGCATAATTGAAGCTTGGGGCAAACCCCTTCGCGCACTTTTACCTTACCCGTCAGAAAGATCATTTTCCCCTTTGGAAGGGTTGAAGCTTGGGGCAAACACCTTCGTGTACATGTCCTTTGGAAGAAGGATTGAAGCCTGGGGCGAAACCAAGCCGTAAACCAATCCCAACCAAAGCCTAAAGAAGCCAAGCCCTAAACAAAGCCAAACAAACGATAAATATGCGAAACCTAAACCAAACCTGACGAAACCCTAAAGAAGTCAACCCTAAACCAAGCACAATGAAGAAGCCAAGCCCCAAACCAAGCCCAAGGAAACCCCCAAAGAAGTCAAGCCCTAAAACAAGCCAAAACAATCCCTTAGGGAGTCAAGCCGTAAACCAAGGCCAACCAAAGCCTAAAGAAGCCAAGCCTTCCCTAAAGAGTGTAACCCTAAGCCAAGCCCAAACAAACCCTAAAGTTAAGAAGTCAAGCCCGAAACCAAACCCAAACAAACCTGCCTTCAAAAGCCAAGACATAAACAAAGCCAGAACAACCCCTAAAGGAGCCAAGCCTAAACAAACCCCAAAGAAGTCAAGCCCTAAACCAACCCTAAACAAGCCAAAACAAAGCCTACAGAAGCCAAGCCCTAAACCAAGGCCAAACAACCCTCAAGAAGCCAAGCTCTTAAACCAAACCATACCAAGCCCAATCAAACCCGAAAGAAGCCAAGCCCCAAACCAATCCCAAGGAAACCCCCTAAAGAAGGCAAGCCCTAAAAACAACCCAAAACAAACCCTAAAGGAGTTAAGCCCTAAACAAAGCCCAAACAAACCCTGAAGAAGCGAAGCCCTAAACCAAGCCCGAAGAAACCCTAAAGAAGTCAAGCACGAACCAAGCCCAAACAAACCCTAAAGAAACAGACCCTAAACCAAGCACAAACAAACCGTAAAGCCCTAAACACCGCCCAAACAAACCCGCCTAAAGAAGCCAAGCCCTAAACAATGCCAAGACAATCCCGAAAGAAGTGAAGCCTGAAACCAACCCTAAACAACCCAAAGAAGTCAAGCCCTATACCAGCCCTAAACAAGCCAAAACAAAGCCTAAGGAAGACAAGCCAAGAAACCAAGCCCTAAACTAAGCCAAATCAAGCCCTAAAGAAGCCAAGCCGAAAACCAAGCCCAAGGAAGTCCTCCTAAAGAAGTCGGGCCCTAAAAGCCAAAACAACCCCAGGGACTCAAGCCATAAGCCAAAGCCTAAAGAAGCCAAGCCCTAAACAAGGCCCAAACAAACGCTAACTAAGCGAAGCCCTAAACCAAACCTGACGAAGCCCTAAAGAAGCCAACCAGCCCTAAAGAAGCCAAGCCTAAACAAAGCCCAAGCAAACCCTAAAGAAGTGAAGCCCTAAACCAGATTTTGCAACCCTGCACAGTCAAAGCACACTTCAAAGATCACAAGAGGCATGCATGAATAGCAGCAAATTAGCCGGACACGCCGATGGAAGACCTCGATGAAACACCGAGCCTTAACGATTACCG